AACATAAAGGTCAATAGGGCAGAATAAGTTACTAATTTCAAAACTATAATTAGGCTATTTAAATCAAGACATGTTAAGCTTAAAAATTGCATACTTTAAATTTATTTTCTTAACAGTGCAGAAAATAGCGCAAAAAAATCGTGTAGTGTGAACTATTGCATCAGGTAGTCGGATGTGCCCATCTTCTTTATTTAAATCTAGTGATTACTGAAGGACAATCTAGTATACAGACTTCATAATCTGCACTCTTTTGGTTGAATGCAGTATTTATTTCCACTTTGGCTTTATGTTGTTTAGTTTTCATTCAAGTACGTTTTTTGTTAATGGAAACTGAGAATCCATTTTATTTTTGTTTTTGGTTGCTTTATTTAGTTTATCAGTTCCAGTGTTATGTGTTCTTTTGAAAATAAAGTGTATCTATCTATGGCAGGAAATCGCATGCATTATTAGTCATTTCCATTAAATCAGTGTCAAAAGGTCTTGAAACAATATTATCGTTTATCGCAATAATTTTTTAGACAATTAATCACTCAGCAAAATTTGTTGTCGTGACAGGCCTATTTGTGTAGCTTGACAACAATTGGTCTAGGTCTGTTTCAAAAAAAGGTGAGGCTCACAGCAAGAAGAAAACATCAACAAACATGGACCTAGTGGATTTTGCTTGCCTTCAACAGGCTGTCAAAGAATTTATTGAAGATTTATTGAGTTATCAGTTGCAAAACCATGCTCTATCCTGAGTGGTTTTGAGGTGGCCACAAACTATAATTGCCCTGCAGGACTGGTCTCCTTGTCTTCCATCTATGGACTTAACAGAGTTGATGGAGTAGGCGGAATGGCATTGTCAAGCAGCTTACTATAATGATCAGGGACCCTCTGCCACCAAAGCCTGACATTCCAGCTTTCCGCTGTCCGTCCTCCTCCATAACTCCAGTCACCACCCCCATCTTGAGAACCACCACACCTTCAGCCCTGGTAAGTGGGCCTCCAGATCTGGATCTTACCGCCTTAAAGTCTAAATTTGCGACTTTTTGTACCAACAGATCATTTTTTAGAAACCCTACTATTATTTGATCGTATAATATTTTTTCTTTCGATTGTCAAAGGGCCAAGACATTCTCTGGTGGCTGTAACTGGTTGTCTGATGCCTCCCAATGATCTCCCCGGGTTTCCCAGTGATCAGGCTGAGCCAGTGGCTAGCTTCCCCGAGTCAGCGCCTAGAGGGTCCGCCTCCTGTGTTGCTGTCCACCGGACCTTTTGCAACAGGCTCCGTCCTGGCTGCATTTGTGTGTTTTCGGACTGAGTTATTCTTTCCTCTTCTTGTGTTCTCTGGATTCTTACCCTCCAACTTACCCTGGTTAGGTTGTTTTTTGTTTTCTTTGGACCTTTGGGGTGTCTGGTAGTCGCCCCAAAAGTGGGAGGGTAGAGGAGGGAATATTGTGTATTTTGTGTGTGTTTCTAGTTAATTTAGTCCCTGTGTCTACACCCTGATTGTCCTCAGCTTTCTCATGTTTCCCTGATTACTCCCTTGTGTACTTGACCCCACTTGTCACCGCACGAAAAGTAGCGCATTTGACCCTGTACAATGATGCAAGCGAGGCTTGTGAGCAACAGCTACCGACAGCTAGCAGGGCAGCACATTTTCATGTGCGTGAGTGGAAAGCTGTCAATTGCAGAATCCCATAAGCAGGGGATGGAGGTGCAGGGGAGCGGGCTGGCGGGCTAACGACTCTAGTTAGCATATGAACAGCCTAGCATATGCAAAGGTGCTTCAGCAGACCAACGTGGATTCTCAGTCATTCGATGAAAAAAAAAAATTGCATCACAAGTCATCACTGACATGTGATTGGTTAGTTGATGTGTCCTAATTGGACAGCACACACATTATGTCTTTATAAATAAACCCTGCCACAGTTGTTGTCTTGCAGATTGAACAGTTTGTGGATTTCTCCATGGGAGATTTCTTCCTACCAGACACAACCTTCATTTTAATGGGGGATATGTAATCAATGATATCTGAAATGTTAGACTGAAAATCATCTACCATCTACATCATGACAGCTTAAGGGCGAGGAAGAAGAGTACATCTGATGAAATGTTTCTGCTGTGTTTTCTGTGAAAGTACATTTTGTGATAGTAGCTGTTTGTCCAAGTGGTTTAACGGATAAAAAACTGTCAAAGATAACAGGAAGTGATCCGACAGACGACATCAGTTACAGAGACTTTGGAAATATTCACACCCTCACTGATAACCAGGTCCAGTGTGTGCCATGAGTGTGTGTTGCTTGTTTGACATGTTGTGTTAAACCAAAACTCTTAATATATTAAACAGCTTTGTTGCCACTCAGTCTTCAGGTTGTCAACATGAATGTTGAAATCACTGACAATTATTAAACAATCATAATCAATGCATATGAGAGACGGAAGCTCATTCAAGTCCATAAAGACATTTTCCACATATGTTGGAGTTTTGTATAAAGTTAGTATCAAAGTTAGTTTGTGGCCTTTTACCTCAATTCCAAGATACTCAAAAGACTACACGACAGGCCCACGACAGGCCCATGGCTGACATGGTGAATGATGAGGAGAACCGTCTGCGTTGTGGGCAGCACCAGAAATCCTGGATGGATCTCCTTCAGGAACAAGCAGCCATCAGCAGAGAAGAGCTGAGCCAAACACCAGAGGATAAATAAATGCTGTTGCTCTCAAACACAGTGGTTTCTTTTCTTATATCCACCACACATATATTGTAGTTTGCATGTTGTAGCCCTGATAAAATTCTCTGCCAACTTAGTGTGTATTGAAACACAGAACATCCAGAAATGTGATGAACTTCAGACTTCGAGTGAAAATAACACAATGAGATGAAAACTTCTACAAGTTAACAGTCTATATTACAAGTTGTTATAAAGGACAACTTAACACTGCTCTGCACATTTTAGAAGTGGCTGTTCCAGAACACCTGATAGAAATGATAGCATTGGCTCATTCAGTGGCATTTATTCAGGCCAGGTGTGTACTGCTGAGGAAAATTAATATTTTTAGTGTTTAATACAGTTAATCTTACGGCATGTGTAAAAGTTATACTGACCGTGGTCATTTTGAACAAATTTCTTAATTTAGAACAGGTTTGTGTTAATGATTTAAAACTAAACTATTGCTGGGTAAGTATTCAACTTACGGGAAGGAAAATAGAGATCAAAAGGGAACTCTTACTGAGGCTCCTGTTGTTATCAGAGGACAGGAGGCCTGTGACAAAGTGGTTCAGTTTATGTTCACCACTTGTCCCTTATATTTTATCATTCACTTATTTTATAGTTGGTTATAATAATGTAAACATTGCAATTTTGCTTTACTTACTATCCCGGGTTTGTTTGTGTTAGCATTATGTTGCAAGATCTATCTATGTTAGGGTTGGTTATTATTTCTGGATTGTGGGTTGAATTTGTTTCAAGGTGTATTTATTTTTTCTTTGTATTCACCATCATTTGCCCTTGTAGATCTGCAGGAGTGTGGGAGGGGCCGACCCAGTACTTCCTGATTAAGTGGTTGGATGATGTCAGTGATTACCTTATTGGGTTCTACCAATTAGAGGGTTTTTCTTTTGTGTATTGCTTTGTTTGTTTTTCTTTAAAAATAATCTTGAGTTATCTTGGATTATGTAACTTATTTTGCATCTAATTTCATTATGTAGGAGTTTGTAAATTGATTTGTAGTTTTGGTGTTTCTTTGTTTAGAATTTGTTTGTTTGACCTGTTCCTTGGTGGCTGTGTCCAATTAAGCACAGGTGTGGTGCCAAATGTGTATAAAACCAGTGAGTTTTTGAATGCTGAGGAGGGAAGTCTGAGAAATGACTGAATAAAAAATATAACTGGAAGAAACTGAAGCAGTGGCTGGTCCTGATTTTCTGCTCACTTCTGACCCTTGAGCCTAACCTACTTTACAAGGCCATAAAATTAGCATCTGCAGGGAGGCAGTATCACTTGGATGAGCGGGAGAGAGAAGATTGCTCGGTTCACGGAAGATCAAAAAGTCTCCAAAACTAACATCTGGGATGGTGTAAAACTGAATACAACATAGAATATTAAAACCACTAACATTTAATTTGTAAGACATTTTTCTTAGTTATTAATAGCATGCTCTGACTGAAAATAGTTTAATCGTGGTTTTAGAATTACTAATTTAGTCAGCGATGAATGTATTTTGAAATTGTATTATCTGTTACTATATCAGAATCAAATGGAAATAGTGTGAATGAAAATGTTTTGTTTAATATTAGAAAATTGCTCAAGTTTATGGTGAAAGGTTTTTGGAAAATGACTGTGTTAATTTTTATACTCAGGATTGATTATTATATTTGATAGGTTAGAAAAAGGAATTTTACCCCATTTTGTTCTGTTGATTTTATGTATTACTTTTGGTTTACGGCAAGACTCAATCTTTTGAGGTGCTGAATGCAGAAGAACAAAATTAGGTTTGTGGGTTAGGGTTAGCAAGGATCTGGATCTCCTCGCCCTGGGTGTCCCGACGCAGCGAGCACCGCCAAGTCGGCTTCCCTCTCCCTCACTTCCCCGAGCAGACATTCTTCGGACCCAGTAAGCCCAGCAAGTTAGTCCCCAAGCTCTACTGGCCTCATATCCTCACCTCTCTGGATCTGTCCTTTCAGAGCCCAGCCCGACGCTTCTGACCTGCCTGCTGTTTATGGTTTCTCCAGCTCAAATCACATTATTTCGTTTGTAAATAAAACCCTTAATCTTCAGTTTTCCTGAGTGTCTGCTGCATGTGGGTTCGGAACATTCCTAAAACCATGACAAACCCTCTGGGACTTTAGTCAAAAACGCCGTTTGACAAGGACTCCAACCTCTAGGTTTAAGTTGAAATGCCGTCAACTAGGACTCTAAACCCCGTAGGACTTTAGTTAAACGTCTTTTAACTGGGACGTTTTCCGGGGGGCTTTACATCATTAATGTCAGGGTCTGTGTTTTTTTTTCCCCTTTTTTTACTTGCTTTGTTTTGGGTTTGAGTTTTATTGTCGTTGAAACCGTCATTCCTCATGGCATCCACCAGATATCACCTACATGCAGAGCCCCTGGGAAGCTGCTGGGTTCAACCCGTGTACACACATGCAGCTCGTTTGGAGGGCGTGGATTATGGATATAGCAGCAGCTCCTCTTCTTCTCATCGCCTGAGTGTTTGCTTACTTCGGTAACTATTCGTTCCAGAGAAAGGCCCTCTGAGATCTGCTCTGCTCTAACTCTTTGTTGTCTTCCTCGTCAGATGATCCTGCTGTCCCCACGCTGTTCTGGTGAGATCAGTCCATCCCAGGTTCCGAGTGAGTCTGTGTCCCCGTTGTTGTGGATTACCTACCTCCTGTGTCCTTCCTCAACACTGTCGGTGTTACCGGTCAGACGCCACTCCTTGTGTGCTCACCTTTCCCCCTCGTCGGTCCCTTGCCAGTGGATTCCCCTTCGGAAGCTTCCGGGTCAGGAGATCCAAGCCCGAACCCAGCCGGAGAACGAATACTATCAGACCACAGTCAAAGCCGCTCTGCCAGCAATAAACAAACCAGTCCGCTCTCCAACGTAACCTAACCGCCCAGTGCTCGGCTCAAGTTTCATCACCTTCCCACAAAGTAAGGAAGAACCTGATTTATTCCGGAAAGATTCTCACCTTCACGTTCTAACCCTGCTTCTCCTGTTGGCAGTAAGACGACTCGGTCATCAGCTCCAGTACTCACTCCCTGATTCCTTCCCTGACTTCAATAAAACTATCATTGTACATTTTATCGGTCTCTTCTGCTTGTGTTCTTGCATGTGGGTTCGTAAACTGAATACCAACATGACAATTAAAACATAAACAGTGAGAAAGAGAAATAAAAAGAAATTAATAAATAGATAAAAACAGTAAAATCATCGAAGACATCAAAACTCACACTCTAACCCTAATTTAGCCATAAGCAACTCTAAACAGGTGGGTTTTAAGTTGAGATTTAAAGGCACCCAGTGTTTCAGCTGTTTTACAGTTTTCTGGAAGTTTGTTCCAAATCTGTGGTGCATAGAAACTGAATGCTGCTTCTCCTCGTTTGGTTCTGGTTCTGGAGATGCAGAGCAGAACCAGAACCAGAAGATCTGAGGGGTCTAGATGGTTGGTACAGCAATAACAGATCTTTAATGTATTGTGGTGCTAATCCGTTCAGTGATTTATAAACTAACAACAGTATTTTAAAGTCTATTCTTTGATGCCAGTGTAGGGACTTTAAAACTGGTGTTATGTGCTCTATCTTCCTGGTTTTAGTGAGAACACCAGCAGCAGCGTTCTGGATCAGCTGCAGCTGTTTGATTGATTTATTAGTCAGACCTGTGAAGATGCTGTTGCAGTAATCAATGCGGCTGAAGATAAACGCATGGATGAGTTTCTCTAGATCAGGGGTCACCAACATATAGGGATAGGGTTAGGGTTACCCTAACCCTATCCCCCGGTCGCCCGAGGGGACCCTGTCAGTCGCCCGCGAGCAAGTTCTAAAAATAGCCATTGTTATTAGGGAGCACTGCCAAAAAAATATTCAATTAAATGTTTTGTACCCATTTTAAAAAAAGAAAAGAATAATATGGATTTTTTATTATCTAAAATCTAACCTATTAGCAAAATTGTGCAGAAAAAAACCCTCTTTTTTTCAAAACGTCTTGTAGTAGCCAGTCTATGGAGGTGGGCACGTCAAAGCTAAATGTCACTGGTCAATTTATGTTTATTTGGTGGCTTGGCACTTTTTCTGTAAGCTAAAAATGAATGAGCGGAGTTTGATCCCACTCGTAGTTCTAACAGCGGTCATTTGGATCTCGGCTGAGCTTTATACCGTGTGCGGTTCTGGCGGGTCACATCTACTGAGCATCTCAGAAACCTAAACAATTTAATCTAGTCCCCAAAAGAGTAAAAATTAAGCAAACAATGTTGCATCACTTTCTCCTCCTCTGGATGTCTGACACCACCTGAACCTGGGAATCAACATCCTGTGGATCAGACGGGTAGGCTTCGCTGTCATGTCTATTATTTAGCATCGTTTGTAAAAAAAATAAATAAATAAAATTCATCTGCTTTTGTGGTTTAGGTTTGTGCTGGTTAGGTGCAGACAGTGATAGTTTTGTGCTACTCTCCAACCTGTCTAACTTTTTTTTTTTTTTTTGACCCGTCAGCTTTTCAGTTCGCGAAACCACAAAAAGGCTAATAAACCGGCGACCGTCAGAACCGCGCAGGGTAAAAGGCCCAGGCAGATCTTAGGACAACGGGAGGAGCTCATTCATTTTTAGCTCACAGAAAAAGCGGCAAATTAACAAAAGTAAACTGACCAATATGATTTAGCCTTTTGCGTGCCCTTTGACCCCCACAGACTCACTGATGTGCGCTACGTACAAGATGCTTTGACACAAAATGTTTTTTTCTCCACAATTTTGTTAATAGTAAAGAGGATTAGATAATAAAATATCCAATAACTATTCTTTTCTTTTTTATTTAAAATGAAAATCTCAAGGAACTCAAAGTGTAAACGGCTGTACAGCTGCAGCTGCAATAATCCATCCTGTCACTTGGAGGAAATTTAGAATCACACAGAAAAGCTCCAAAAGGGACTCAAACTTAAAACTCTGAACTAAGAACTTCTGATCACATAATAGCAATTAACTATATCTGCCATGGTAAATCATTACTGACAACTATAGTGAGTAATCCCTAACATTAATATGATCATACCGCATGTAATCATGTGTACATATGTATTATTGTTATTAAGAGTGAGCTAAGAAAATGTATGTCTGTATCAAACAAGTAGCCCTTCGTGTTACTCTGTACCCATGAAGTAGCTCCCAGTCTCAAAAAGGTTGGTGACCCCTGCTCTAGATCTCACTGAGACATCAGTCCTCTAATCCTGGAGATGTTCTTCAGGTGACANGCAGATTAATCCTCTGATCTTTTGAATTTTCTCTGAGAAGAAACTGGAGAACTTGTTGCAGGCGGCATTAGATTGAAATTCAGGTGGTAACGTCATAGGAGGGTTTGTGAGCCTGTCAACAGTAGCAAATAAAGCTCGAGCATTGTTAATGTTTTTGTTTGACATCTGCAAAGAAAGCCTCTCTTGCATGTTTTAGTGTTGTGTGATAGTTACATAGTCTTTCTTTGTAGATGTCATAATAAACGTGCAGTTGAGTTTTACACAATTTCCGTTCGGCCCTACCGCAGAGTTGTCTTGCAGATTGAACTGCTTGTGCATTTCTCCATAGAGATTTCTTCCTACCAGACACAACCTTCACTTTAATGGGGGCAATGTAATCAATGATGTCTCAAAGTTTGTTCTGAAAATCATCTACCAACTTATCTACGTCATTATAGCTTAAGGGCGAGAAAGAAGAGTAGATTTGATTAAATGTTTCTGCTGTGTTTTCTGTGAAAGTACGTTTTGTGATAGAAGCTTTTTGTCCAAGTGGGTTAACAGATAAAGAACTATCAAAGATAACAGCAAAGTGATCCGACAGGGCAACATCAATTACAGAAACATTGTAAATATTCACACCCTTACTGATAACCAGGTCCAGTGTGTGTCCATGAGTGTGTGTTGCTTGTTTGATATGTTGTGTTAAACCAAAACTCTCTAATATATTAAACAGCTTTTTTGCCCCTTGGTCTTCAGGTTGTCAACATGAATGTTGAAACCACCAATAATTATTAAACAATCATAATCAATGCATATGAGAGATAGAAGCTCATTCAAGTCCGTAAAGAAACCTTCCACATATGTTGGAGTTTTGTATAAAGTTAGTGCCAAAGTTCGTTTGTGGCCTTTTACCTCAATTCCAAGATACTCAAAAGACGTGAAATTACCCAAAGAGATTTTACTACAGTTTATGGTATTCTTAAATATTGAAGCCACGCCTCCTCCTTTTATATGTTTTCTATTCTCACTTAAAAAAAATGTACATAGGAGGCGCTGATTCAATCAGTATGATTGCTTCATTATTGTTATTCAGCCATGTTTGTGTCAGAAATAAAACATCAATATTATGCTTGGTGATGAAATCATTAATTAATAGAGCTATCAGAATAACGTTAGCTAGGGGTAATCCCAATCTGCACACCTTGCTCCATCAAATGAGAACATTTTTTGCTTTGTCACACGATATTAATGGGATATTGAGAGAAGCCAGTTTGGGTAGTATTTCTAATTTTTCAGCTAAGCTCTCTCTTTTGACATCTTTGTTTCTTGTAATGGCAGTGAAGCTGTATTGATGGTTGTGTAACCCCCTCTGACTCCATGTAGCCGCCACTTTCATTTGACGGTTGCAACCCGCAATTAGTCAGGTACTTTGATTTTTACGGGCCCAGTTCCTGTGTTGCCCCAAACTCTGCTAACTTATCTGAAGCCCCGCCTCCAGTGTGCAATTTTAACTTCCTCACCTGTCTCCACTGTGGCTGTGACTTGCTGTTGGCATCTTACACACAAATTGATCCAAATCAGTGAATCTATGGACTTGATTGCCTGGTGAGTCTGTCATCTGATAGCAGTATTGCTTTTACATATGAAACTTCTGCTCGATTGCTCATTGGAGAATTGTTTTGCTAGAATTGCTGGTGCCATTTACCTGGAATGTCATGGGGATTCTGTCACGGCGCATTGAGGCTAATGCCCCACTCCAATTGAAAAGATAAATTGTTTGGTGCATGAATGATTTTGGAACTTTTGAGGCAGTGAAGATTAAAATGACAGTGAAATTGATCAGAACAGAATGTAGCTACACTTTTAAGTTTGATATTGTGCAGTATTTATTTTTCTTTCTCTCACTCTGCTTGAGTATTTGACAATTTATTTTATTTTTCTTGATTGATATTTTGAAAGTGCACTGTAACTCTAAATAACTTTAAATTGATTAACTTGAAATATAAATTATACTTTTTAAAAATGTATTTAAATTGTGGTTAATTTAACCTGATTATTGAAATATTGAATCATGTCAAAATTATTAGACATCTAATGATTGCTTTTGCATTTAATATGTATAAACCAAATGTCTAAATTTGATATTGATTTCCTTGTATGTTTGTACATGATGATAATTGTTGTTTTGGATAAAATACTTAACGCTTTAGGTCAGTTTTTTTTCTGTTGGACCATATCCTCATCTGGATATGAAGATGGCGAGCTAGGAAAAGGACAATGGACTTTATGATATTGGAATAAATTTATTCTGAGTAAACCGTCTTGTGTCTCTCATTGTGCTGCTGTAGTTTTATGTTTTTATGGCAATCACTTAATATATATACTCACCAAAACTAAAAGCACTGCCTCCTGTTTTTTCATTCAAACCTCAGACTCTTTCAAAGGACAATCTTCTGATGCTGCAGTTAACTGCCTAGCCTTAAGTATTACACAGTGTTCTGACAAAATATGACCTTCATAACTTTATTGCAGCTTTCTAATGTTTATCTGTAGAGGTGGTCCTAGCATGTTTGGCACCCTGGGCGAACCACTCTACCAGCGCCCCCCCCACCCCTACTATGAAATTGTTGACTGCTCATGCCACCCTCCCCACCTCAAAATATTGTCCCCTGGGCAGTTGTCCATGTCGCACATATCAGAAACTGCAACAGTTTACCTAATTCCACACATGCTGCTACATTCTCCAAGAAACATGTGTTTTATTGCTGCTGCAATGCTTTTATATGTTGCTGATACCAAAGTTGATAACATAACTTGTTTGCTGTGTTTTCTGAAGTGACTTCTTGTTAACTTGACTCGCCACATATTTAGGTCCATGTCCATCTAACTAAAACTTACAGGAAATATTCTCATCCTCCAAAAATTTAGAGGTTTCTTTGCAATATTGCAAAATCCCAGGTGTGAAATTAAGTGATACATTTTTTGACTCTAGACTCAACTTTCTGACATCAAAAAAGACATGGAACTCAACTTGGACTTAAGCTTTTTGACTTTGACCTAAAGAAAATGTAGAGTATAAAAGCATGTGTTCCCTATACATGTATTTAATGAACTACACTCTGAATGTCTTTGCTATGAGGAAATAAACAAACTGGGAGCTATCGTCCTGCAACTTTTGGATGCATCCTTACGCCAACAGACCAGGATCAGCTCTGAACAGGCCTTGTAACGAGGCATTCATTTGATTCAGGTGTGCTGGAGCAAGGAAGCATCTGAAACTTGGAGGATGGGAGCTCTGGAGGACTGAACTTGAGGACCCCCGAGTTAGTGGCTCTAGAAACATGATGTAATGTTGATCACATTTGCAACCGGCTCAAGGCATAAATTAACTGAGCCCCTGAATGCTAACATTTTAACACAACAGATATAAAAATGTAATGCTGCTAAATTTGATTTAATGGTTTCAGCATAAATAAATGAAAAGGTTTTAAATCATTTAACTTTTAAACTTAATATTTTAAGGAGCTTGCAAGATTACTTTGCAAAAGTTCAAAGAACAATATTCATAGTTAGATTGTTTTGTTACCACAGCTACAATATGATTATATAGCCACGCGGTGGGCAGCATGAGATGTAAAAGCACACGCCGCACATAATTATTTGTTCCCATAGATATATCATCCTCATTGCAAGCTCAAAGCACGCCTCTGAAAGCGTGTCTAAAGGCTATAAATGTGCTTCACATTGAGCCAAGCAGAGCAAACGATGCGGCTTTTAAACATGACTCGTACCTTAAGAATTAACCAGAGAAACACGAGTCATCAAAGGGTGTTGATATAAATACCATTACAGGAGAGTCTGTGTCCTGTTTGAGTGAAAGGTGGGGCGCGCAATCTGTGCTGCAGTAAACTTCACAGATGAAGCTGCGATAGAGAGCCAAGTGTCCCACATGCAGAGGTGTCAGCAGTGTGATTGGTGAGTGCTCCATGTATTTTAAGGCTTATAATACAGGCTTAAAATTATATAATATAACAATACAGGAGAACAGTAGGGGAAACCCTGAAAAACTCCTATTTTCTTGTAATGTACTCTACAAAGCACTACAGTTTGTAGAGCACATCACAAACTGCTTCGTGGATGAGTGTCCATGTGATGCTCATGTTGCCATTGGTTTTATATTCCCTTCACATTTACCTCAAAGTAGTCCTGCTCCACAATCTTTCCTGTTTCCATGGTGTATTTACATGTCAGGTAGTCAAGTGCCATTGAGGCAATTCCATGTGAGGCCAGCAAAGCTGCACGATATTCCACCAACTGACCTCCACCGCCCCACAGGTCCAGAAGACCAGGAAAAGGTCCAGGTCCTTTAAATAAGTCAGATCAACAAAAACAGTTCTTACATTTCTTTCTTTTTTTAATCAAAAGCATTTTATTGAATTTTCACATATTTTTTGCACATTGACAGAATAAAAAAAGGAAAAAAGTTACGGTTTTAGTCCTAGAAATAAAGTGAAGAGATACAAATATAAAGCAAGAAAATAACCCTCCACCCCACATCACTAAAATGACATCAGTTCTGTCCAACCAGAGACCTTCCTTGTGTATCACTGCAGTTCCATTGCTGCAAGTTTCAACTGTCTAAGAGCTGGAAATGCCCTCAAAAAAGGACTGCGATTTTTAAAATGTATCAACAGAAGGTTTAAGTGAAAATCTGAGTTTTTCAAGTTTAAGACAATTCATAATATCTTGCAACCACTGTAATTGAGATGGAAGAGAGGAATCCTTCCATTTGAGTAGGATTGTATGACTAGCCAAAAGCAATTCAAAACTTATAGAAACCTCAACTGACTGAAATAGATCCTTATTCTATAACCCCAAAAAGGGTTGCTAATGGGTTTGATTCTAATTTGACACTGAAAGATAGCATGCCAAATATTTTCTTCCAGTTCTTACTGAAAAGAGGACATAAAAAAAGATCAAGCGAGGCCTTGAAGATCTGAATCCAATGAACTACCTTCAGCTATCCAGCTGAAGTTAAACGTTGTTTAACTGGGACGTTTTCCAGGGGGCTTTACATAATTAAAACGTAAACAGTGAGAAAAAGAAATAAAAAGAAATTAATAC